GTTACTCAAACGTCTATGCAAACGTTTCTTTGCAAGAAGTTCTTGATATTTTGAATACTTATTCGTTGGTCCACCGTTCAAACACGATCTCTAACATGGATAGTAATATTTGCACTGCTAGTATCAGAACTATATCGTTCGACTGCATCATTTGAGCTCTCCTGCGAAGTAGAGCAAGCTCTGCTATTCCAGTAGACGAAGATGGTAGTCACCTAGTGGATGAAAGGTGAATTCGTTAGAATAGCGTCTGCCTCGAAGTTACCGGGCTCGTGGGTCACGGAAGTTGGGTTGTAAGAGTCTCTTGCACCGCTTTAGGTTAAAATGTTCATCGTTCAACTGATGTATGCTCGGTTTCAAATACCGCAAAATTTGTTTTGCTCGGCAAAACAAATGCCTGCGCTATCAGTGGGTATAGATTAGAAATTTAAAGGTGTCCGTTAATGCTTTGTCCTATAAAAAATACTATTTCAATCGTCCACATTAGCTTTATATCTGTAGAAAAAACGTCTTATGGGGGTCCGTAATAGGTTTTTATCTAATTTTTAGGCTAGGTTATCAGGGTATTCTGATGTTATGATGCAGTTTTGGTAATGAGTATCGATTCGGTGATCTAACTTACAATAAAATACGTTACATCGATTTTTTAAATGATTCACTCTATTTTCAGGCTTTAACGAAATTGCTCTAACAATAAACTTCAAATGCCGACAGCTTGGACAGAAAAAAAGATTTTCCAAAAAGGGTTTCAGGGGATAAGAGTGCTTGTTTAAGACAGCGTACTCAGTTTTCCAAAAAAACATTTATTCAAGAAGTTATTGTACTTTAGAAACAGCGAAAAAGAGGTCTTTTTTTACTTTTAGGTTAGGATATTCAAAAAACTTAATGTGATAGAGTAATTCTAAAGTTAGATTAGTAATTCTAAAGTTAGGGGTCTCGGTGGCTCAGTGGGTAAGAGCCCAGGCTTCTGTGTAAGAGGTCGCGGGTTCGAGCCCCGGATATGTGAAGATTTTCAGAAATGAAATTTTCATATGTGTGTTACTGTGATTCCGGTGGTTCGGATTCCAGCTTAAACTGTAGGTCCAGTCATGATTGTGTTCAACTTTATCCTCCTACATCATTTAAAAAAATGATAGAGAAGGTAAGTCTGCATATTCATGACTATAGGGAACCAAGACTAATGCGTATAGGTACTTAGTTTACCTCTGCAGCGTTCCACGTGGACGTAGTTCTTGAAGTAATAACAATAACAATAACAATAACAATTCAGTGACTCAAAATCTACAAAAAATAGCTAGTCTCATCTAATGAGCAAGTTTCACGTCGGGTTGGGTTACAAGGGTTATCCGATAGATACTTAGCCTATCGCCCGATGGCGCCATTCGTGCAAAAGAAATATACTACCATGTAGTACAACCTTGTCGATGGTTACGGTCAAAATTTCAGTTGAATCGGACTTATAGTTCTGTGTAGTATCTGTTCTGTTGACCGCATGTGGAAGCGGGCGCGTTACAAAAATGGAAAAAGAGCAGTATCGGTCAGTGATTTGATTCTTGTTTTTGGAAGGAAAATTGTGCCGCGAAATCAAAAAGCGCTTGGATGCTGTGTACGGTGACTCTTCTCCTTAGATGGCGATCGTCAAAAATTGGTTTAACGAATTTAAACGTGGTCGCACGTCGGTTTTTAATGATCCACGCCCAGGTGCTCCGAAAACGGCTACCAAAAATTCACGATCTCGTATTGGCAGATCGACGATTGAAGGTGCGCGAGATAGCTGAGATCGTAGGCGTTTCAAAAGACCGCGTGGGTCATGTCCTGCATGAAATTTTGGGCATGAGAAAGCTGTCGGCGCGATGGGTGTCGCGTTTGCTCACTCCGGACAACAAGCGCAACCGTGAGACAACTTCAAAGCAATGTCTGACGCTGTTTAAGCGCAATCCGAAGGAGTTTCTGCGTCGTTTCGTGACCGCCGACGAAACATGGATCCACTGGTATACACCAGAGACCAAGGAACAGTCGAAACAGTGAACTTTACCCGGCGAAAGTGTTCCGGAGAAGGTGAAAACTGACCCATCGACCGGAAAGGTGATGGCCACCGTTTTCTGGAATTTACAAGGTGCGATCTACATTGACTACCTGGAAACGGGCAAGAAGGTCACAGGGCCGTACTATGCCGAATTACTGGACCGATTCGACGTCAAATTGCAGAAAAACCAGCTCCATTTGGTGAAGAAAAAAATGCTCTTTCACCATAACAATGCACCGGCTCACACCTCCGCCGTCGCCATGGTTAAACTGGTCAAATTAGGCTACGAACTGTCTAAATTTGAGTCGAATGAGGAGGTAATCGCCGACACGGAGGCCTACTTTGCAGACTCCGAGGAAACGTATTTTTCAGATGGGATAAAGAAGTTGGGCCAGGTGTATTGAACTAAAAGGAGACTATATTGAAAAATAAAACGCCACTTTTCTACTGTGTACTTTATTGAGCGGTTGATTTATTTTATATATGGTGTAGTTTGGTATGTGTATTTATAGTTGGAAAGTGAGTTTTTTAACATAATGTCAAAATTTTCAATTAATACGAATGCTCTTAATTCCTGTCGTTTCTGCATCAGTCCATTGGCGTTTGAAATAGCAATTTTAATGAGTTCATTGCGCCATTTTATTTATTACAATTGTTAATAAATTTAGCATGGTGTCGATCTTATTCATCAAATGCTCCATCATATTTTCTAATTTATTTATATGTCCTTCCTTAGTATATTTATTTGATTCTGTTAGATTTTCGCATCTCTAATTTTTTCTAATCAATATTGAAACTTTACAATTAATATTCTTATTTTTGAGATGTTTATAAATAAAGTGATATTATATTTTTGGTTTTTCGTAACAGAGTTCTGTCCATTCAAGTTACGCACTTTTCAAATTTTGAGGTTATTATTTTTTCTGGACTAACAAAAGTACATATCGAATTTGGGTAAAGACTTCAAGAAAGTAGCCTTTCTATGCCTTCAAATTTCTTTGCTTCAAAATATCAACAATTTTCTTAATACGAGTGAGCTAAACACAATAATCACTTTTTCAATGTGCGAGAGCCACAGTTGAGAACCCCATCAGTAGGAAACTGACTTAAATTAATATATTATACCAATATATTTCAGAAACTAATGACTTTATTATTGTTGAATTGCAACTACAGTATACCTTTGAATGTTTAGAATAAGTTTCTATTTTACAAATAGTTTCAAAATAAAATTCAGAAATTAATAATATCCTTTAAGGAAGCGAAGAAGATTTTTAAGAAAAGAATAAACAAGAGCCACAAATTGTCAAAGAAGTTACAATGAAAGAAGAGTTTATAAGGAAAATCTCAACAACAAAATTTCTGTACCTAAATTTACCTGAATAACTAGTACTGTAGAATATAAGTTTCATATAGTATTAAGTTTTTATGATAAATATTTTTGTGATAAATTTTAACCGTTTATATTAGTGGCCTGTGTTAACAAATAAATGTTATTTTTAACATCACATGTGAGCAAAATAACAAGAAAACTAAACTTTTGGATAATTGAAAAGTCATAAAAATTGTAACTTTGCACTTCTTCAGCAAAAGCTTGTTATATCTTCAAATATTTCAGTTTTTTTTCATTAAAATAATATTATAAATAATCACTAATCCAAGTATGATAATATTTTTATTAATTGTTTGAACTCTCCATTCGTCTACAACAAACTAAATATGTATGTCAAAGAATGAATTCGAATAAATAATACTGAATTGTTTGTGTTTATTACATTAAAATGCTGTCCATCTTGAAATATATGAAAAATGGAGAGTTCATCAAACAATTAAATAAGTTGTCTACAAATACAAAATGATTAACTCAAAGAATATTGATTTTTTATTAATTCATTTTTCTATATTCCATGTGAAAAGCAGGATTTTCCCGCAAACTCAGCAAGAAATATGATAGATTCTTATCTCGTATGCCTTTCCTCCCTTGCCCAGTTTAGGCGCTACTCTCACACAAGACAATAATCTACTTTCCCACACGAGTTAGGTAATCTACTATTATAAACATATAAGGGTCAAACATATAATATTTTAAGAAAATCATAACATTTAAGTATAACTCATAATAAAGAATTTTTGTCGCTCATTTATATAATCTAATCATAAACTTACTATCAAGCAAGATTAAATATAGAATAGGATGATCTTATATTCAACTTATTTAATGAAATATATATGTTCTGACTAACAGTATTCACTGCAATCAATTCAATAAGTTTTTAAACATTATCAAGCTGAATAATTAATTAACTATGTGGTCCATCTTGGTTTCATTTCATCATACCTTTTTACAGTAACATTTCTGAAAAGATTGATGGATGTCTGAATGGAATGTTATAGAAGCTGTCTGTTTCTTTACTAATTACACCAATGTAAAACAATATTGTCATACTAAAAATAGCAAACAAAATCACCTTAAATTAAAAATAACAATATAAAGTAAAGTATTTATCGTTATTAATCATTTATCGTTAGATAACAAACGATTAACAAGTTTACATTAAGAATCTTAGTTTTTAAATATTATGAATAAAATTTCAGTTCTAATTAGTCAAAAAAATCAGATTGACCACCCATTTTGAAAGGAACATTTTGTATATTTCTTTCTATATTTTCCCTCTTTAATTATCAAAAAAATGGATACAATTTTGATAAATTAAGATATTCATATTCCCAAAGTAATTCAGATTATATAAAACAGATTTAGGAAGACAGAAATATTAACAGATTGAAAAAATGTATTTCTAAAAGTTATCTCAAAGATTGACTTCCATATTGTTAGTACAAATTACTAGCTATGTAGAATTAAAAATGAAACTACAATTACTAATTTTGGCCAAGTTGATTTTGCATCCTTGACTTAAATAAAAGTTTAGTCTATATTATTCAAAGATTATAAATATTTTTAACACTCATGCATTACCTGCTAGTATAAAACATGATATACTAGATATGAATCCACTTAAAAAGCTGTTGAAAGGAAAAGTGCCAACAAGACAACAATAGATGAATTGATTAACACCAGTCAGAAAAACGTAGAACAAGTATGAATCCACAATTTTAACTTTTTTTGGAGTAGTTTTAGCATATTCTAACCAAAATTTATTAATCATTAACAAAACACTCATTGTCAGTAATAAATATATGAAATACAAGCAAAAAATAATTAAATTATCTGAAAATGTTGAATTTTATTTCAGTCGTTAATACTTTTAATTACGGAGTAAGAGAAAAAAGACACAACTCATAGCCGTAACGACACTCATGACCTGGCTGAAAAATAATTAATATCCTCAAAAAAAAAATAAAAGTAACTTTGCGTTGATTTGTGCCAACCAAAACTGCTTGTATGCAATTTGTACCCCCCCCCCCCCCGCAGTCAACCAAATTTGGAAAAAAACCAAAAGAACATTATTTCGAAAAGCTCGTACGCCTAACAAAATAATGAAGCCCACTAGACTTGTGAATTTGACGCACAAAAAATATTTTTAAATATATTTTTGAGTTTTCATGAGTTAAAACGTTTTCTCCCTTTTTCCGAATTAAAACTCCGCTTGAAATTTTATTTCCGGATTTTCCGTTTTTAAGAAAATTGCAAAAAAAAATCGGGCGTTCGGACAGCGCGCAATATACATTAAACATTTTTCTCCTGTTTAAAAAGAAATAATATCGATAGCAGATGATAGCTCCTTATTCCCGGATTACGAAACAATTTTCCATTTGTCGATTTTCTATCCAAAATTAAGGAAAATGTAGAGATTAGTAATATGCGGCAGTTAGTCGATAAAACAGGTTAAACATTTGCTAATCACCAGATATCCCTATATGAGTTCTACAGTCCGTACAGTCATATGTTACTCCCATTTGTCAGATATATAATGAACCAATAATCGACGTGGACATACATGTAAATTGCAAATACGTATTTTTTTTAATTAGCCTGCATCACCAGTCCTCATGAAAAATACTTTAGACAAAGTAAAAAATTGCATGAAGGCTTCGCTAACAGTTTCAATTCTTTTTAACTGTTTTATATTATGCTAGATAAATCTAATGCAAAATTTAATAAATTTTCCGTTTTGAAATTCGTTCTCTATCAATCTCATTATTTGCACAAAATTATTTGTTTTAAAAGTAATAAAATCTATTTAAAAATGGCATAGACGATGAAAATTATTTTCAGACCTCTTATATACAAATTAAATTAATATGTATTATATGACACACTAATGAAAAACAGATTAACAAAAAATAAAAAAATTTTATGTATGACAATCTATGCTTCAAATAATAAGAAATTAAGTATTTGAGCTTGTTGCAATAATTTTCGTTTTAGCTAGATATATGCCAGTGGTTAATCAATGACTTGAAATATTTGTCATGAAACACGACTGTATAAATTGTGACGGTAAACGTCTAGTTAGCGCTATCGCCCCAGCCATGTGTCTGCCTACGAGGGCAGCACCTACTGGTTGGGGAAAATAGAATAAGAGAATTCGGTTGCGAGCCGGGACGGAACGCGCGCGAACATAAATGAACTAGTCGAAGATAAATCATCCGAGCATCCAGCCGTTGTTGAGAAAAATCAGAGTTTCCGAGTGCAGCAGCGAGCCAGCTGAATAAGAAGGACATCAGCGTAAACCGCGTTTTTGTGTGTGAGTGAGTGAGCGTGAGTGCAGGGTTTCGCCATCGAGGGCGAAACCGAGAACGGACGGTTCCTGTGAAGGACTAATAGCGAGTTCGTCTCTTTTCCCCTTGCGAGTAGTGCGACCGATACGAAGGTAAGCTGGCCAGCTATATATCGCGACTGTGTTTTATTTTTCTCACGACTGCGCGGAACTAATTGCTAACCACTCGCACTTGGTAAGGATCGGTAACATGCATGTGCTAACCCGGCGAACAAAGAGCTACGATCGCTCCGACGCTGCATGTTATTGACGCGCGCGCGCTTAGTAAACATAAACACGCGGGCCAAGCATACTATAGAGAAGAGGTAAATAAACTGAGAATGTACGTCGTGACCACCACTGGAAGCGCCACCTTCCAGCGGCTCGGTTTTGGCGCGGCTCGGAGGGAGAGAATAAAATGCTCTCTTTCACTCTCTGCTCAACGCTGATAGCGACAGTAACGTTTTTGTTTTCTTGAGACAACTATTTAAGAGTTTTTTTGTTTGGTTGTAACTTAGCAGTGTGCGCAGTATTTCTTTAATCTATATTCTATATTTTGTATTTAAGAGTTAATAAAGAGTTCGGATAATTTAAGAGTTAATAAACTAGTGTTTACTAATTATACATATAAGTGCATATATAAATAAAACTAACTCCTCCAACAGGTTGTGGGCATCCAGCCACGCTAAACTCTTTCCGTTTTTTTAAGAGACGAGTGTAGAAGATTTCAGATTACACGTAAGTAAAGAGTAGTAATTAAGAAGTGAAGTAAAGTGAACGTGGTATACATATAAAAAAAGTAAAATAAGAATCCCATGAAAAAGTGAAACAGGCTTTCGTGAACATAAAGAAAAAGTTGATCGAAACGATTAACAGATATTTCTAAATTTTTTAAAACTCATTAATAATATAAAAGAAAGAAGTTAACATAAAGAAGTCGTAACAAAAAGAGAATTCAATTAATTCAGAGTAATAAATTCAGAAAAAGGTGTTAAAACCGGCACCTTCAGGTAGGTCGAGACAAAAGCCGCTTCGTGGAATTCGAAGCAAAACGCGCGCAGCAATGTTTACAGTTGCTGTGCAGTGTGTTCATGTGTAACTAAGCAGGTATGTACATGATTCTCTCTCAGTTTACGGAACGCTGTTCACTTGAGAGCCGATTTGTGTTGTACACAATCTGGTTAATGAAAATGTACAAATGCCGCTACATATAACAATTAATACCGAGTGAATTTTTTTTCTCTTTCTCTAGAATAAGTCTGCTTAAGAAGTAAATCTAGAAAAGCTAATTGTTTCACTTTGCGTGTGGAAAGTTTTGATCAAAGTGACATTCAAATAACAAAAAGAATTACTGTTTATAAAGAAACAGTTTAGTCATTTTTTTTCAGACGTATTGTTATTCAGAAGTGCAATTTTTTTTCAGACGAGTTATTTTACAGACGAGCTATTTTTTTCTTTTTTTTCCAGACGCGTTATTCTTATGGTCACTAAAATCAAAACAAAATTTGCACGAACGTACTATTCTCACGTATGCGGCCGCCTTCTTCTCCCTAAATGTAACAACGAAACCTATATATGGCTAGTTGGTTTGGGAGGGAGTACGTGTGATTAGGTCACAGTGTAAATTTGATCGTTAAAATCGTAGTACTTTTTAACATTCAAAACAAATAAAATACTTATCTTATTAAAGAATGTTAGAGACACGTGAAGTGTTTCCTGAGGGCGACAACATCAATGCCTCGGGCGAACCGAAACAACTGCCACCACCTCCACCTCTAACACCCATAGAGCAGCAGGCAGGAACATCTGCGAGTGAAAGTGGCAGCAACGAATCGCAACAGGTGTCAACACCAACACCAAATTCAGAGGGTATTCAGATGAATGATGGTAAGACAATTCAGAATAATAAGATAATACTAAAAAGAGATGTAACAGAAGCTGGATCCACGTGTATGAGTCTGTCCTCAAAACGCAGAACAGACTTGTACGATTGAAGAGAATTTTTATAGTAAAATTAACATTTCAGAAGCACCACGTTCGAGCAATCCAGACAGGCTTCTAGATGTACTAGAACGCCTAAACACCTCCATCAACCGCATGAACCAATAGCGGCAAGAGGCAGTAGCGACACAAAAAGAGACCATAAGCCTAGTGAAAACGTGCCTTGCAGAGATTCGCACACTATCTGCACGAGTTTCGGAGGTACCAGATTCTGCACCAATTCCACTACATAACTTTACCTCAGTCACACACTCACAAAACATACAGAACGACACAAACGACGGTATACAAATTAATTCAGAAGGTCAAACTTCAGACAACACTCAAACACTAATACAACTTAACAGAACAGTTGAAAATATCAACAAACAATTGACAATTCAGAGTAACCTCAATAACTCTCTACAGAATACTTTAAACGTTTCAAAGATTCATGTAAAGAGAGAATATTTATTAACCAGCAAAGGCAGTCTAGACCTTTGGTATGACAGGCTTAAATTAGAGTTAGCGACAAATGGCTTAATAGATTATATAACAAATTCAGAACAATACAGAAATGACAATTCAGAGGCTGTTGTAAATAAAAAAAGCATAATAAGAGATATAATCATAAGTCATCTGGACGCTAACTACCATAAGAAAATCTTAAACATTTCAGAGCCAGTTGATATTTTAAATAAAATAAAAGATATTAAGAGGATTGAAACAAATACTTCAGAAATGTTGATTCGACAACAAATCTACAATTTAAGACCGACAAATAAAGAAAAATACACAGACTTTATAGACAGGTTTGATTCATTAATCTCAAAACACGAAACATGCAATCCACTATCTTCTATTTCAGAAGCAGAAAAGAGAGCGGTATTTTACCAGGCTGTTGCCAACACATGCAAAGAACTTGCATCGGCATACCTGGTAAGATGCCAAACTGACTCCCTTATGACGATTGATGACATGAAAAAATGTCTGTTGCAGATCGAACTGCAACAAAATGACAACCGTCAACCAAGGGTAAGTCAAGCTCAACTTCAGAGGCAAGGCAGCAGAGACCAAGTTGATGCAGTTGCTGCAACCAACAAATGCTACCGCTGCAATGCACCAGGTCACATGCGCAAGGAGTGCCCAATGCGGTTCCCCGGATTGTGGTTCTGCTACACCTTCAATGCGCTCAGGGAACACGAAGGCAAAAATTGCCCGAATGCAATTCAGAGGTATGTTAATAACGATGACAATAAAAATAACACTACACACGACAAAAACACATACAATAGAGGTAGAAGTAGAGGAAGGGGAGGGAAAGCACCTAGACGAGGCGGTAACAACCGCAAAAATACGACCCCCTACACGAGAGTGTTCACGAATAAAAACAAAACAGGGGACAATCCACAAGCAAGACTCGCACGAGGTAAAGTAACAAATAAAATTGATTTAGATAACAATATTAAATTTATAGTAGATTCCGGGGCTACACATCATATAATAAATTCGGGATTATTATTGAAAGACTTTAGAAAGAGTAATCTAGGAGAAATTCAGAGCGCCAATAAAAATAAAGAAGCAAACATTAAGATAGATGGCAAAGGGAATCTGTAT